CTGAGGGGGTCGCTGGGGCGGGGAGGGTGTCCGACCTTGTTCCTTGTTGTAGGCACAGTTTACGGGACGCTTTATCCTCTGCCACTGACTAACAGGGTTGACTTGGTGGGTGCACTTCGCACTTCCACGGTGCATATGTTAAGTGCCATTGATGATTCTAACATCATGAATGTATTAACTCTGGTTCCTTGGTGACTGCTGTTTGGATGCATGCTGGGAAGGTAAAATGGTGAAAGAACAAAATGTTAACTTGCTGTTTGGCTGAGGCTTGTGGCCTCGGGAAGAAGAAGAAGAGATTGGATTTCTACCCCGCCCTTCACTACCCAAAGGTGTCTCAGAGCGGCTCACAAACTCCTTTCCCTTCCCCTCCCCACAACAGACACCCTGTGAGCAGTGTTCCCTCTAAGCTGAGTTAGTGTGAGCTAGCTCACAGTTTTGTAGCCTCCAGCTCACACATTTTTGTCTTAGCTCAGGAAGGATGGCTCCAGAGCAAACTAATGTATACAGTAGCCGCCAAATTGCTTGCTCACAACTTTAATGCCAGTAGCTCACAAAGTAGAATTTTTGCTCACAAGACTCCACAGCTTAGAGGGAACATTGCCTGTGAGGCAGGTGGGGCTGAGAGAGCACTGAGAGAAACTGCTCTTTTTCAAGAACAGCTCTTATCAGAACTATGGCTTGCCCAAGGTCATCCAGCAGCTGCGAGTGGAGGAGTGGGGAATCAAACCTGGTTCTCCCAGATTAGAGTCCGCGCACTTAACCACTACACCAGACTGGTTAATGGGGAAACCTATTAACTGTGCATGTATCAGTTAGCCTAGCTAGAATGAAGAACAATAAGCGCCCTGTAGCCGTATAGATACAATTTATAGCTTCATGGTTTAAGAAGAAGAGTTTATTGTTCAGCTAGGAAAAAGAAACTTTACTTGGGAAAGCACAGCCTAAAAGGTTTTCCGCCAATCGGAGACCTGTTAGGTCAGAGTGTTGATGTGTAATGGAACCAATAATTTTGTTTTACTTGTGTGTGTCATCTTGAGTATAAAACCCTATGTCACCCATTGTAACACTCGAAGAGTCTGTTGGGTATTCAGGGTTCCAAAACCTTGAGATCTGTACTCTTCCTTTATTAATTAATAAATATTTCTTCTCTACAGAACTGCAGAGTGTGTATATCAAATTGGGTTGGGAAACACAACCAGAGGCACCCTTTGTGTCTTACAACCTTGCAGGGCTGTGTGCAAAGAAGGGCCACATCTCTAAATACAGATCGATCGCGCGGGAGTCCTCATTTGCAGCAACTCAATGCTTTTGTCCACGCAGGGAAATAGCAGGATTTTGCTCTGCGAGATGATCTACTGATTCCATTTACGTGGCCCTAACAGGTTCTCTATGTAATTGCTGCTGCCTCTTGAGTTTGACTGTTTTTAATGTTTTAAATGTAATGTAGTCAGATCAAATCAGTCAATCCTAAAAGTAATCAACCCTGACTGTTCCCTGGAAGGCCAGATAATGAAACTGAAGCTCAAATACTTTGGCCACCAAATGAGAAGGGAGCACTCCCTGGAGAAGACCCTGATGCTGGGAAAGACTGAAGGTCAAAGAAGACGGGGACGGCAAAGGATGAGATGGTTAGACAGTGTCATCGATGCAACGAACATGAAGTTGAGCAAACTTCAGAGGATGGCGGAAGACCGGAAGGCCTGGCGTGATCTGGTCCATGGGGTCGCGAAGAGTCGGACTCGACTGTGCGACTGAACAACAACGAAAAAAGTCTTATTGTGATGAGTCTCTGACCCTGTTTTGTTGTGATCTGCCCTGAGCCCACTTTGGGAAGTGCGAAATAAAAATCCGAAAAATAAATAAATTTTTAAAATCTAAATTGTCTATTGCAGTGTTTATAATCTCCTTTTCTTCCCAGTGGAAGAACTTTACGCGGTGTTAAAGTATGGACTATCTCTGTTACGTCGCTCTCTCCTCCATTTTATCCTCGCAACAACCCTGGGAGGTAGGTTAGGCTGAGAGAGAGTGATGGGCTCAAGGTCTCCCAGTGAGCTTCCAGGGCAGAGTGGGATTCGAACCTGGGTCTTCCAGATCCTAGGCCAACACCTGAACTGCTGCACCACACTTGCTCTCAAAAACGAATGAACTGGAGGCTACCCCAAGCCACCCTCTCCAATCTGGAACTTCTGCTTCCAATCCAAAATATGCAGTCGTTGCTGAAATTTTTAATTATTTGCGCTATGTATCCGCCTTCTTTGTGTGTTAAGGAAAGCTCCCTGTAGATGCTCAGAGGTGCATTTTATGAGTCCTGACACCTTAGGCCTGAGCCCCAGCATTCAGAAGAGGTTCGGGCTGCATTTCCCCATGGTGTGGTAGCCACAATTATCTTTAGGAAGAAGGCATGAAATACTGTTCCAGTCTTCTAAGGGCCATGTGGGAGAGCCATGATTAAACCCTCTGTCTTTCTTTGATTTATTATGTGATTTATAGTCTGCCTTTCTCACAAGGAGGAGCTGCGGTGGCTCAAGTAGTTAAGACACTGAACTGCAGGCTGGAAGGTTGGTAGTTCAGCAGTTCGAGACCTGAGTGCCGCATGACGGAGTGAGCTCCCATCTCTGGTTCCAGCTCCTGCCAACCTAGCAGTTCAAAAGCAAGAAATTGCAAGTAGATAAATAGGTACCACTTCAGTGGGAAGGTAACAGCGTCATGCCGGCCACATGACCACGGAGAAGTCTTCGGACAGCGCTGGCTCTTCGGCTTGGAAATGGAGATGAGCACCGCAACCCTAGAGTTGGATTCAACTGGCTTTCAAGCAAGGGAAACCTTTACATTTACTTTTCTCACAAGGACTCATGGTGGATTACACATAGTGAGCTGTACGGTCAGCAAAATGGAACATTCAGTAACCAGTGCATTAGGGTTTCAGAAGTCTGGAGCCACCATAAGCATTCACAAATGTCACGTGAAGCAGTTCGTTTTGACCAGCTCTCCCAGCTCAGAGAGGTGGGGCCTAAATTATGCTTTGAAGAACCTTTGAAATCCAGTGTGGTATTATGGTTAAAGCAATGGAAAGGAATCTGAAAGTTTTGAGTTCGAGTCTGTTGTTAGCTTGCTGAATGACCTCAGACTGGTAATTCTCTGAGCCAGCCCAGTGGTAGTGAGGATAAAATGTGGAAAGCAAATCCATGAGCAAGATAAAAACATGATAAAAGCACAAATTGATCAGGAGATGGAAAAGCAATAGCAGCCGCATCTATTTGTTGGGTACCGTGGGTAGCCACGTTGATTTGAAGCAACGGAACAAAGTTTGAGTCCAGCGGCACTGGAACAAAGTTTGCCACTGGACTCAAAGTTTGTTCTCTTGGATACCTTATTAGGAATGAAACTTTCCTTATTCTCTTTGCTCTTCTATTCTCTCTTTTATTCTCTTATTATTTCTCTTTGCTCTTTTTATTCTCTTTGCTCCTTTTATTTCTCCTTTTTGCTCTCTGAACTGACTTCCTACCGCCTCCAGAGCCTTAAATATATTTTATCTCGCAGACTTTGTAGTGTTCTCACCTGCACGGCTGAAGCAATATGTCAATAGATGGCAGTGCAGCCTTTTTTAGCTTTGCTGAAGCAACTTCTTCGGGCAATTTTTTTACACATCAAAGAAGCAGTGATGCTTTGTCAAAATGAGGAACAGCTTTGTTTCCTAAAGCTTTCTGAAAAGTACTGAGATGGATGAGTGATTACAGCTCTCATACTTTTACTGGTGAAGAACAAGACAAGTTTAGCCGGCTGGCAAACCGGTTTATATTCCCTGAAAACACCATACCCCACTCCCGTGATTGGCTATATACAGTGGCCAAGAGTTCCATGGGCTCTCAGCCCGAAGCCTAGCTCACCGATTGGTGTGGCTAGGGATCCACTTAGTCCATTGTTTTCTAGAGCAAAGCCTGGACCGTTCGCTTGACCTCGTGGAGCCCTTGCCTCGCAGGTGGTCTGAGATGGATACATTACACTTTCTACACACATGTAGGCAATTTTTCTGTACAAATACCTACCCCAACTTTCTTTTCCGTTCTTTCATGGGGGGGGGGGTTGGCATTCCAAGCTGGGGGGGAGGTGCTCTTCGAATCAGATGTGACTAACTTATCACATTAACCATGAATATGTTTTTTTT